TACATTTAACACATTGAATACATTTAACACATTGAATACATTGAACACTAAACTCTAAATAACTAATATACATCTCCAGTGTGGTAATATTGCTGCAAGATTTGGTATCAGATATGAAAAAATACATGTTTAGAATTTTGCGTGTCCATGTTCAGTATAGACTTTTGCTGCGTTAAGCGTACTCCAAGTAGTATGTTGCACACAGACTTGCAAACAAAATACACCAAATTGAACTTTCAGTTGCAGTTGAAGGTACAAATACAACATAATGAATATTGGCTAGAAAGAAGCTTGGGATGTTGCTGTTGACATTCACATAAATCGTTCCACTGTTGAAATCATGTGTTGCGTTGCTTAACAATAAATATACAGAGGACTGTGACATACATTCAAATACAAATATAGAAGAAGATATAGAATAAATAAGTTAACTTACAACAGTCATAAGGAAAAGAAAACACATACAGAGCTCAAACATATATAGAAGGAAGTATAGAATAAAAAAGTTTACTTACAACAGTCATAAGAAAAATAAAACACATACAGAGCTCATACATATATAGAAGGAAGTATAGAATAGTATAGAATGTGGATAGAGAGGCGAAGTCCCTCCCCTTCCGGGAGCCTCCATGGGACCCCGGAAGCAGAAAATTATACATTGAAGTCAATGGAGAGAGAAAGGTTATCTTTTGATCCCGTTTGAATTGTGCCACGAATGACACATATGATGTTTGTCAATTTAAAAGAACATTTTACAAGTCAAAAAAATAAAAATGTGTCGTGAAATTGTGAAGTTACACATTTTTTTGTGTGAAACCGCTCAGTGAACTACAGGTCGCTGGTCTCGCACAAAACGCGTCACCATCACAAAGACGGCTGTCAGGTTAGCAAATTTCACCTGTTTCTTTCAGAATGAGGCAAAAAGTATAAAACGAGGTGAACATCACTACAAGTCTGGGCATGTTGAGAGCTGTACATACACGAAAGGGGAGTTAGTCGGTTCTGTAAGAGCAGCGGGACCGGCTTTACAAGGTTTCGGTGAGTAATATGAGTGCAATGTGTAACGTTAATGTCAGCTAGCTAACATTAGCTAACAAGGTACACTAACGTGTTTTGTTTTAGTAACTAGTTTTCTCCTTAAGAAATTCGTGGTCTCTGTGTATGCTGTGGATAACAATTAGTGTTCACAAGAACAAGGTACACTCCCGTGTTTTGTTTGAATTGCTCTTCAGATTGAAGCGGCCAGTTTTATATCGACTATACTGTATGTGTGATCTCCTTTTTCTCGTTGTGTCATTTGAGTGTATTTGCTGTGTGTAGATTCAAGGATTTTGGTTATCTAGGCACAGCTGTGTGTGACTCCCTCTGGTACACTGGTATGTGTTTTCCTAATGTAGAGAGCATTGATTAATTAATAAACTACACACTGAGTCTAGATCCTGACCAAATCCTTTTTTATTGTTGATCAATTGTTTTTCAAAAATGTATTCATACACATTTAGAAAAATACAATGTACAATCACAACCAATACAACACAAATTACAAAAAATACAGAAAAAAAAAACAATAACAACAATCAGACAAGAGGACAAAACTATGGAAAAATAAACCCTCCCACCCCCAGATCCGGACCATCCTTGTATTATTGCTCATTCAATCTATTATAGTATGCTAACAAATGGTACTTACTTTATTTTTACAGATCTGCATGGGAGACGATGGCGCGATGCAGAGCGCTGTCTGTGATTGTGCACGGGGGATGTACAAATGCAGCCACGCTGCAGCATTGGCAATATTTGCCATGTGGCAGATCAGCTCCACAGATGTTGAGTGCCAGTGGAGGAAGCCCGGCACTTAAAAAGTAGTCCAGCCGGTGTCTCAACTTTACCAACAGCGAGAGGAGACATACAACCCACTGGCCAGAGACATCGCCAACTGTCAACTGGGGGGTTGTAAACGAGGCCGAAGGGGTGAAGGCTTTTGTGGAGGCCTATCAAGTGACAGTGTTCGAATCGAGTCTGGTCTCTTTGTGAGTGAGTCGGGTGTTTTGGGAGCATCACCCGATGGACTTGTGCAGCCATCTGCCCTGCTGGAGGTGAAGTGTCCACACAGCCAGAGGAACATGACCATCGCGGAGGCAGTCCAGTTACCATCCTTCTGTCTCCGTGAGGAGGGTGGGTCATATATTCTCAAGGAGAATCACCCATACTGGCACCAGGTCCAAGTGCAGCTGCACATCACAGACCAGAGTCTCTGCTACTTTGTTGTCTGGACCACGAAGGAGGCGATCATCATCCCCATCCCCAAAGACCCTGCATGGCATGGAAATCTCCTCCTCCTGGAAAAATTCTACACCCAGCATATGCTCCCTGTGTTGGCCAGTAGAGAGGAGGACATTTAAATAAACATACTCTTAACACCCTCAGACTCTGCGTTGTGTTTCGTATGTGTGATGAGGTGTTATGCAGAGGGGAGGAAAACAGGACACAGCAGATTGGGATTGTGGTGGAGATGCTGAGCAGTTATTTAATTGTTGCATGTAATTATTATTATACTGCGTGCTTCTTAGTTATTCCATCTTTTGCTGTTACATGGATCTGTATGTAACTCTATATTTACTTGTTATCTACCACACTTCCTTCTACATCATACACCATCATTATACATGATGGTGTGTATAGGATATATATATTTGTATACATATCTGTAAATTGTATAATTTTATTTAAACGTCTTTTTGATCTCTGTCTATAAACACAAACTGAGTAAGATTGACAATAAAGTTGACTTTGAATTTATTTATTTTTTTTTATGAAAATAGTTGACTGTTGTCAAATGAATCCAAATGAAACGTTGGACTGAACTACAACTACGCCTTTAAATCTCTACGGACTGTTTTTCAGTGGGATGGCAAGTTCCTATCTTTAAACATTTATTAGTTTTTTCTCAGAACAGATTTGATTTTCTGAAGTTAATTTAACTTTGGCGACCATGTAAGGTCATTATTAAAAGGTACAATCAATTTGTTTAGGGTTGACTAAAATAATGAAAAACATTTAATTTGGATAATTTACTGACAGAATAAGAAACTCAATGATGCTCTACTCACCTGTTCCCTTTTTATAAAGTGAAACAGTTGAAACGATAGATTTTAGTAAACTTAAAAACAACCTTCTCCAAAAGCTATCAAGGAATATACCGAATACTTGTTTTAGAACTTTATTACATATTTGTATATAAATAGTTTGAATGATCCATAATTGACAGAAGCTTGTGTTTACACTGACCTGTTACTCATATATTAATGTCTTTGTAACTTCAGTAAACCACTACCTCACTAATTTATTTCATTCATCACGGTTCAGTAAACTAAGTGATACATGAACCAGTTTAATCATTATAATAACGTAGGATTGCAACTCTTTGAAACTAGGTGGCTCTTAAAAGAGCCGTTGTGTTTGGGTGTGCTGGTCTCAGGTCAGTCTAAGCCCTCTCTCCGCGGATGCGGCGGGCCAGCTGGATGTCCTTGGGCATGATGGTGACCCTCTTTGCTTGGTTCATCTTACTGGGGGGGCAGCTACATGGATGTCGGTGCAGTCCACAATCATTGTGCAGTTGAAGGCAGAATGAATTTATTATTGACTCCGAATGAAGCACAACGTCATGTCATACAATACAATGACTTTATTTGTAATTGTGTAAAAAAATATGAGCATTGATTAGCAAGCAGGACCTGCAGGAACAGAGAATGGTGATGGATGGAGCTGGGAAGAGAGAAGAATAAAGAAAACAGATCAACTTTATTATCGGATATTAAAAATTCAATTTCAAAACAAGTTGCCGCTCCTACAGTTTTCTAGTATGTAAAGATGATTTCACATGACCTATGCAAAATATCACACTCAATACATGTGTGTCTCTGGGGGGTGCATTGTGCCTTTGATGTATATAAATAATATACCATAACCAAATACTATTACGTACAGTGGAAATCAGGTTGCCAGAGCAGGTCAGTGTGCATGTTCCTCAATGTCTCAGCAGTTACAGGTGAGGTAAATAAATAATAATAAAAGAGAAAAAGGTCAGTAACAACACTTTGAATAATTATCTCTTCTAACAATGTTCTCTCAATAAGCACACAACGACTGTCTTTCCAACAAACAGATTGACTCACTCTCACTGTCATCACAATGAAACACGTCCAGAAGAATGTCATGCAAAGCTCCCTGCCTGCCTTCGACTCTCCCTGAACTGCTTCCTTAGCACCCGGTGGAGGGCGCAGTAGGCTACTCTTCAAAAGTTTCACGAAATACTTACCATCATGTTTGGTTACTGTTTAACATTTTGGTTTACTTCATGTAATAAAATAATAACTTCATGGTAAGGCTACTAAAAATGACATGGCTAAGTAATGTAATGCTAACTAACGTGCTCGCTACTCGTCGCTACTAGCTAGGTAACTAACTTGACTATGTTCCATGCACAACATGTATATTACCTGATATGTCTGATCCAGCGACTCCTGGTCCTTTCATCAGACGGGAAGCGATAGAACGAGCAAGTGGTATGATCACTTTTGTGATTACAACCTGGTACAAAGCACACAGGCATCTTGTAAAAGTGAACCAAACACTTGGAGCATTATCGCCGGTGACATCACTTACGCTACCCAGAATGGGATTTGGGATTTGTAGTCTTTGTAGTCGCGTATTTTTCATAGTCTTATATTTCAACAGTTTTACGACAAAATGTGACTTTTTTGACATGGAAATGATTGTTTAAGATTGACAAACATCATATGTGTAGTTCGTGGCACAATTCAAACGGGATCAAAAGATACGTTTTCTCTCTCCATTGAATTCAATGTATAATTTTTCGCTTCCGGGGTCCCATGGACCGGAAGTAGATGGGCGTGACTTCGCCTCTCTATTGCCGCCACAGGAGATGTTGGAAAGAGAGGCTGAATTTAGCACAGCCCAGACCTAAATCCCCCGCGCCCCTCCCCCTTCACACGCGGTCACGTTCAGTGTTCACTGTCACGTCACTGAGGCTAAAGAGACAACGCTTTATATATACAGACAGTCTATGCTAACAACCGACAACAGTTTGCTCCAAAAGGTAAGAGACGAAAACATATTTATTTTCTAACCTGCCTCCTTAATGTCTGTATGTAATGTAACATGTTCTCATATAAAAGAGTAAAATAAGCCAAACCACTCATCAGTAGGGATGCTCCGATCGCCAATTTCGGGGCCGATCGCCGGAATCAGTATCGGCCGATACCGATCGCCGATCCGATCGAGTGGGCGGGGCCTAAATGGAAGATTTAAACATCACTTTAAATCTTCCATTTAAAGTGATGTTTAAAACTCAGTTAATGGGGCTCATTCACTGGAGCTTCCACAAACAACAATCAACTTAATTATTACATTCAAATGATGTACATTATTCAAGTTTACATTCACTTTGGATCAGTGCTGGAATTGGGCCGGTACTCACCGGTACGCAGTACCGGCACTTCTGGTTCTGACCCATGGAGTACCGGCACTTCTTGCTCAGTACCGGCATGCTGGCGGTACTCCGGTACTCATGCACCGTGCCAGTACTCAACACTCTCCCGCCGTTCTTATTATACATCCATATATATATATACAGCCGCCCGGTACTCAGTAGATGCGTCATGAGGTGCCGAACGGACATTCTCATCGCTCTAACCGCTGGAGTTTCACAGCGGCTGTCAGCTGTTTACTCCTGTCATTCAAACAGAACGTGCTGGAGAGGGGGCGGGGCTTATCTTCTCCATGTAAATACTGTGGTGGAAACGACTATGTCAAAATTAACCTATTTGACCGTGATTTAATAGTAATACACGTTTCAAAATAATAATAATAATAATGCCGAAGTAACAACATACTGAAAACTGTTAGTAAAACCATGTTTTAATGCTTTACAATTTACATACCTAGATGCACGTGTGTTGTGTTTATGCAGTGCAACTCCCACCCAGTGGGTGGCTATGTAGAGTGATAGAACAGAGCAGGCATGCCCCCGAGAGAAGGAAAGCAAGTCACGTCACAAATTAGCATTTCTAAAATGTTAGCGTGGATTAATAAAAGTGCAAAAAGACAGCGGTTGTCGCCGGAAGAAACTTCAAATACAGAGAACGCTGTGCCTGTGTTGGAAATTGTGTCTGATGGGGAGCTTTCTTTGGTTGATCCTCCTGCTCCAAGTTCTAGTGCATTAGCATTAGCACTAGCTCCGCCGCCTCCTCCAGAGCCTCTAACGTTAGCTGCTGCTGGCGCAACTGCCACCACCAACACCGGGCAAAGCGATGCACCTGACTGTTGGACAACGGACCAGGTGCAATATTTTTGCAAGACCAATGCATGGCTCCTTCTTAAAGATAAGAAGCTAGGATGTCGGATATGCAGAGATGTCAAATCTTTGGGAATACACACTGGACAAGGACTGAAACTGTCAACTGAATGGGGTGAGTGTGCAGTGTCTCATTTCGGTGTTGACAAGGGCAAACAACAAGCTAGCCTGAGAAAAAAAATCAAAGAACATAAAGAATCACAAGCCCATGTAAAAGCTGCTGACATCCTTACATCTGCTTCACGTGAAACTATTCAACATCAAGTGCAGTCTATGCATAAATCTGAATTAGACACCACTATCAGAGTTTTTCGAACGGCATATAAAATTGGCAAACATAGCCGGCCATTCACAGACATGCCAATTGATTTGAATGTACAGAAACTGAATGGGCTGAACGTGGGCAGGGTTTTGCACTCCAATAAAACCTGTGGCGAAATCATCGACCACATAGCTCATGAGCTGAAGAAAAAAATGGCAAAAGACATTACAGAAAACCAAAGAAAACTCTGTGTTTTGGTCGATGAATCTACCACTATTAGTGGTAAAACGGTGCTTGTTGTGTGTCTACGCTCAGCATTAGCTGATGCTGAGCCCGAAACGTTTTTTTGGGAGCTGATTGAGTTGGATGGAACAACGGCTGATGACATCACAAAGGCGTTAATGGAGTGTCTTGGAAGAGATTTTAACGAGGACTTTTTAGGTCAGTGTTTCGTTTCTTTTGCATGTGATGGGGCTTCAGTCATGCTAGGGAAGAGAACAGGCGTTGCTACCCAGTTGTGTAGTAAATTCCCAAGCCTGTTTGTGTGGCACTGCTCCAATCATCGTCTAGCGCTGGCAGTTGGGGATGTGGTCAAGGAGGTCTCAGGGCTCAATCATTTCCAGATCTTTTTTGACAAACTCTATTCCTTGTTCCATGCCTCCCCCAAAAATCAGAGGCAGTTAGCGCAGTGTGCGCAAGCAGTCGGACAGCGTCTCCTGGTGATAGGGCGTGTTTTGTCCATCCGCTGGGTGGCGTCAAGTGAAAGGAGCGTCAGAGCAGTCTGGGAAAACTACCGAGTGCTTCATGATCACTTCACAAATGCTGCAAACGACACGAGCAGGGATTCCAGAGACAGAGCAAAGTACAAGGGCCTGGATGATGTGCTCACATCTGCAACGTTTGTCAGCAATCTGGGACTGATGTACGATGCGCTCACAGAGCTCAGCGACCTCTCTCGGCAACTCCAAAAAAGAGAGATGACACTGCCTACAGCAGATAGGCTCTTAACTCGAGAAATACGAGTTTTTGAATCCATGGTCACCATGCCTGGCCCACACATGACTACAGTTCATACAGCTCTAGCTGAGAAGTCCTTCAAGGGTGTTGCCCTGCGTGAGAATGGCAGGCTTGTACAGATTCATGCAGGTCAGTTTTTCCGCAGTATGGTAGAGAATCTGAGACACAGAATGACTTCCACAACCTCCTCTCATGTCAGCACAAGAGAAATCCCATTACATGGCCGGGAGGCCCGGGACAATCAGCTAATCCAGGACATGAAAGTTATCCATCCTGGAAGTTGGCCTGAAGAGGAGTTAGACGTACAGTATGGGGACGTAGAGGTGCTACGTTTGTGCGAAGTGCTGAAAGTGGACAGAAGAGAGACTGTTCAGGGCTTTCGCGAATACAAGGAAACCAGGGCATCCCGTACACCTGCTGCCATGGAGCCTCTACTGAAAGCAGTCCGAACCATCGCTGTCTCCACTAGTGAGTGTGAGCGGGCATTCAGCTGCATGAACGATATCCTTACTGCAAAAAGGAATGCTCTCTCTGTCAGCCGACTGTCCAGCCTGGTTTTCATTAAATGTAATGGACCATCACTAGGACAGTTCAATCCGGAACAGTATGTGAGGTCCTAGCTGGCAAAGGGAAGGAGAAGTGCTGATGAAAGAGCCTGTCCAGCTCCAGCCCCTGATACTGATGTCCCCAAGGCCTTCTGGAGCCTTTTCTAACAATGTGAAGTATATTGCAAAGCAGCTCACCCAGTGAGAAGACTTTTGGCATAATGTGCCGATTTGTACAGATCCTGGAGATAGAAGGACTTCAGACCAACCAGGGAGTTATCTGATCAGCTTGGTGTTCAATGTAACTCTTTACCATGGCTCAGACTTTGTTACTTGCAGTTACAGTTTCTCATTTTAGATTGTGCAAATTTTGCATTTGTTTTTACATGTTCTTTGTTCATGCTCTTTATCATTTTTCTGAGTTGGAAAGTTAGATTGCATCATAGTTTACTTTATACATATTTGTATTCTTCAGTGGTGAAGTATATTGCAAAGCAGCTCAGCCATATGAGAAGACTTTTGGCACTTTTTCGTTTTTCGTTTTCTGAGTTGGAAAGTTAGATTGCATTCAAAATGTACAGAAATACTTCATTTTGTTAAAGCTTTTTATAAAAAATGCTTCTGACCAGAGCTTTGTTTCCTTGTCATTAATGTTGAACACCACCAGAGGGGCTCTCACCTGAAAGGTCTCTGCTTCATGTGTCTTCAGCAGAAGATCTAGACTTTTATTGCTATATTTTCAGTTAATATTGACCTTACTGAGCTTTAGCCATATCCGCTGCCTATCATAAAAAATGTTAAGTACAGTGAACCTTTCTAAAATATACAGTAGTAAAGAGACAAACCCACCAGCATTATAGTAGCCAAATTCTTGTTTGTGGGCTGTATATATAAAATTGACTTGAAAAAGTTGCTGATTTTAGAGTACTGGCACCTTTTTCATTCCAATTCAAGCACTGCTTTGGATAATAACACGGGAGAAATTAGCGGAAGCGCTCTCTTTTCCTCTCTCCCTCTCCCCCCTCTCTCCCTCTCCTGACAGCCTGTCAGTATCTCATGCAGCTCACTGATCCAGTAATGAGTGACCCGACAATGAAGAATACATATATTTATAATAACTAGTTTAGCTTGTTCCAGAGGTAGATAAAATAGCTAAGTGTGTTAGTTCTAACTCTTACACACACAACAGCTTTTCAAAAATCTTGAAAATCTTGGAGCTGGGCGTGTCTGAAAGCTTGGGGATTTTTTGCGACCAACAACCAATCACATGAATCTCCCGCCCCCGACATACAAAGCAAAAAACCCCGGGGATTTTATGCGAGCAATATATATATATATATAAACTCCCCAAACAGTCGAAAACTTACCAGTTTCACCCACTGTCTCTGCCACCTCCCTCCATGCCTGGTTCCTCCGGTTTGTATCCCATTAATAGTTCTGGTCGTAAAGAACCGGGTGATTTGCTACCGTAATTTCTCGTTTGGAATATGAGGAAATTAACTGCGGTCTGGTTCTCCCTGTGTGTGTGTTTCGCTGCGCTTACCTGTCCGGCGGGCGGAGCTGCAGGATTTCTGCTTCACACACGTTGCATACCGCTATTTTACTGTCTTTTTCGGACACCTTAAAATAATGCCAGACCGGTGAAGCCATTTTGGCGAGCTTGTTTTGCCGCACACAGAGAAAAGTGTCATGTATTTTACGTCATGCGATCGGCTCTCGCGATCGGCATGTTTAGAGAGCACCGATCGATCGGTAGAGAGTGAGTATCGGCCGATATCGATCGGTGACCGATCGATCGGAGCATCCCTACTCATCAGCAACCGCTACTGTGGCTAAGCTAATGTTGGGTGTTTGCACAGTAATTTTCCATACTTTTCATAGTTAACCAAAATGCTAGAAATGTATGCATGCCAGCAGTTCTGCAATGTTAACTCTGTATGCATTAGCTAACTTTCTAGAAACCAGACTTTGCATTTATAATTCGTTTTATATATATATATTTGTATTTAAAATCTATAAATGTGAGATGAAAAAACTAAAAATGACATATATTTTTCACAACTAATTTCCAATGCAATGTCCCTACCATTGTAAACGACGATGCATACAGAATCTTCAAGAACACATATTATTTTAAAGAGGCGTGAAGAGCTAATCATTTGTACTTTATTTATAGATGGCAGAAATAGCCGGATCGTCATCCAGAGAGGAAATCCTGAAGGAAAGTGGGCCTCCCGCCATACTTGGACAAGGTGCTGTATAATTTTTATAAGAATTTTTATTCATTTTGTTTCAGTAATTTTTTGATTGCATACACTTTACTTTCTTATGGCAAATATATTGTACCTTATTTTTACATCTGATAAGTGAAATCAGTTGATTGTGACCTTATCACAAAAAGTCAGTGACTTGATACATCCTGCTTCGTAATAATGCATGAAATCGTCTTGCATTATTTAATGTAATATTAATATATAATCTTAATCCTTATAAAGTTCCATCATGATTCTATATACAAGTATAGAGTTATATGTAATATAATATACAAATTAAACTTGTGTAGTCTTAAAAATATGACGAAAATGATATGACAACTCAGGCTACATGTACCGCCTTTTTCTAAAAGATGATCACCAGTAAACACTTTTTTTTCCTTTTTCAATATATTTTATTCTATCTAGGTCCCAATGTGTAGATAATATGGAGCAGCTACGTTAGACGTGGGGAAGAAAGAGCCAGACACACCATGGGAAGCAACCTGGGGTTGCGTTCCGATAATCCAAAAATCAGCTCCTAAATTCTAACCCTATCTCCTATTCCTTGACCTCTGAGTGAAACGTCACGGGGTTAAGGGATAGTGGATAGGAGAATTCAAAAGGATTTAGGAGAAGAGACTGCAGTGCTTAGAGAATCCGAATGCACTTTCACTATCCGACGTGTTTATGATGCGCCAGCGGACGTCATGAATGTGCGTCTGCTGCTGTGGGGAAACTATGGAAACCACAGTTTTCTATACAGCGGACTACAACATGGATGTATAATAAGAACGAGGGACTACTGTAAACTCATCTAGAGACTCTGCACCGTGCTCTGATGCTGTTGTTTTATGCTTTATGAACGGGGACAACAGAGAAACATATTCTTCATGACCAAAGTTGGAATTGAAATAAAAAAGGAAAGTGAAACTTATGCTCGTCACCCTCTCCCTCCGGTCTACATTAATACAAATGATTCGAATACGTATGATTGTATGAATTATGAAAATATCTTAAAATCAATACAAATGTATTTATTATAAACGTTAGTCCTTAACATCTATCTCTGTGTATATCACCATTCAAACATCTTTTAAAAGTTGAACAAACCCCACACAGCTCAGTAAAGACTGTGAAATGTTGACTTTATTTGATAATTTCAGTAAAAACTAACGTTCATATTTCTCTTTTTGATTATAATACTGATGAACGTTCAGAAAAAAGCACTTTGGCAACTTACCACATACGTTTTAAAATGCTTAATAAGCACCGTAACTTTCATGATATCATTTCTCGGTCATAATCGGTTGTTTCCGTGAACGGCCGACTGTTGAGTGACGGCAAATGCTGCGGCTGCAATGCATTGTGGGGCAGCATTTTCTCCTCTCCTTTCGGTTAGGGAGGTCCAGTGGTTCCTAAGCTAAAGGAGGTTATAAAGGAAGTTTGAAATCTCCTTTCCTTTCATTTGGAGAATTGGAACGGCACTTATCATGGCTGCCAGTGACGTACTTCCGGGTTATTTCACTCCGTTAAGAAGGTTCCTAAGCTAAATGGACTATTGGACTTCAGCCCCGGTCTCAATTGCCGTGTGTAGTGGTTTGGCAAGGGTGGTCTGAGGTGGAGGAACCTTCTTCCCTTTTTCTATCAGTCCTTGAGAGGAAGAACAGTCCCGGATGTCTTGCTTTGGCAACATCAAAGGTGTGGAGCTTGTCACAGCGATGAAGCAGGACCTGCTTTCCCTCAGTGACAACTTCTCAGAGATGAAGATAATTCTATCTTCTATCAATGAGAGATGTCACTGGAGGAAAGCCAATCCGGGAAAGCTGAACAAGGCCAGAATGTGGGTAAACAGAGAGATGGGTACATTTGTTAGTGGTTTGGGTGGAGAGAGTGTAAGGCATCCTTGCATCAAGTTTGACTGCCCTGGCATATTTCTAAGAGATGGAGTTCATTTCACCAATTTGGGAAATGATATGTTTTTAAGTAACCTTAAACAGTCCCTTGAGGCTACAATCTAAAGTGGCTCTGCATTTTGGATTCTAGCCTCAACAGGATATGTATATTTAACAAGAATAACTTTTAAATTTGACAGGGCAGTCCTCCTTGTAAGGATGTCTTCACTTACTCACACTATTTTTTTTAAATGTGTAATTTAATTTAATTGTTCACTCACATTCTGTGTTCTTCCTCTCTCTTAAACTTTAGTCCCCTTGTCTTTTTCTCTCTTTCCTTCACTCATCTTAGTCCCCTTGTCTTTTTCTCTCTTTCCCTCACTCATCTTAGTCCCCCTGTTTTGTTTCTCTCTTTCCCTCACTCATCTTCCCCAGCCTCACCAGCCTCACCCAGCTGTGGTGTGTCTGTTATCTTTCTTCTCCATTTTGGATGCTGCCCAGGAGGAAGCGCAGCCACTTCAAGACACTGGTATGGACCTACGTGCTGACGACACAATGTCAGGATTATTTTGTCATGTCACGTGTCTATGTCTAGGTGTGGGTGTTTTTCCGTTCTCCTTGTCATGTTTTCCTCCCTGTATATTGTCTGGTATCTTTTCCCTGTGTTTTCATGTCTGTCGTTAGTTCCCTGGTGTGTCTAATTTCCTGATTGTTTTCACCTGTCACTCCTTGTGTGTCTCCTGTGCTCATCAGTGTCAGCCCCGCCCCTGATTGTTCCCACCTGTGTCTAGTTACCCTGTGTTTAAATTCCCCTGTCTCCCAGTGTTCAGTGTCAGTTCGTATTGTCTCTTGCCATGGTCAGGTCTATGCTCTTTTATGCTCAAGAATAGTTTTGTTCCTCACTATGTGAGCGATTTTCCTTTTGGTCTCATTTTTTGTCATCTCATCCTGAGATTAGTTAGTGACCTTTTTTTGTTCATCGTGTTTTCTTGGAAAAATAAAGTATCTTACCAATACTTTACCTCTGTCTCCCTGTTTGCAATTGGGTCCAACATCCTAAGTGCCTGAGATCGTAACAGACAACCGTCATCAGCCCGATCACAGACGGCGACGAGACGGCGTACAGAGAGGAGGTCGAAAACCTGACAACTTGGTGCCAGGATAACAACCTCCATCTCAACGTCAGCAAAACCAAGGAGCTGATTGTGGATTACAGGAAGCAGCAAAGAGAGGGACACGCCCCCCATCGCCATCAATGGGACTACGGTAAATAGAGTCAGCAGCTTCAGGTTCCTCAGTGTCCATCACGGACACGGCTGCATCACGGCCTGTTACGGCAGCTGCACCGCCCTCAATCGTAAGGCTTTCCAAAGGGTGGTGAAAACTGCACAGAACATCACCAGGGCGGAGCTGCCATCCATGGAGGACCTTTACTCCCAGCAGCTCAGGAAGAAAGACCTCAGTTTATGTTTATGTTTATTTTAGAAATGTTTTGGCACATTTGTTCCTATTCTGCTAATGGTATATTGCAGGATATTTAAGTCTCCCATGTACTTTTTAAATTAATAATAGTATGTTCATCTTGATGTTTAACTTGTAATATTGTAATCATCTTAGTTAGAAATGCTGTTTCCACCCCATCCTCTGCTGCTGAATGATTTGATATATTGTTACTTAAAGTGCTTGTCTTTGATATTATAATGATTACACCAGAAAGTCACTCTTTGTGAGATTTATTTGTTCACATTTCATTCATTGGAGTCCTCAAAGCTGGGTGAAGGTATTGATGCACAGATCAATGCAATCCTTTACAACAGTATTCCACTATGGTTGGGGATGTCTGTAAAAAAAGGAGAAATAATCTTAAACCAAATAAATGTCGCAATATAGGGAACCCAGTTCTTATTATACATCCATGGTTCAAGGCAGGGAAGGTTTCGCAGTACGCAGTCTACTGACCTGCAGCTGCTGCCTCTCTGTTGGACTCCGGTACTGCACCTTACTCACGAGACGTTGTAAAAAAAAAAAAAAAATGGGTGGGAGGCGAACGCAGTAACCATTCCGCCAGAGCCATATAATAGAAGAGTTACGACAACGGAAGTCCAAAAACGGTTATCGTCACGTGGTTCATGTAGACGAGGATCGTTCCCCGGAAGTTCATGGCGGGCAATGTGAATGCGTTGATAACAGGAGATAGAACTACGATTTTTGGTAATTATTAGTGAATAAAGGTTTTGATTTGCAATATTTATACAACAAATCGATATGTGTATGTATTTACATCAATATGTTTTAAAAAATAAAATAGAATTTGCTAATATTAAGTGATATTAGGATTAGTGTGAACAACTAGTTTACATGTTAGGCTAACAGTGCCTTGGTTAAAGAGCCTGTTGCTGTTTATTTATAGCTTTGAATTCTTTAAAATCAATATTATCTTCTTAAACTTGTATGGTAGTCAGGAGCATCACTTTCTAATGTTTATTGATATATTTAGAGGGAGGGGATCTAAAGTAATGCTTTAAAATTCAGATTAGATTAATGTCTACCATTTTCTTAAATTCATGGTAGTTTCAGTAATCCCATGGTAATTGAGGACACAAGTTATCTAAATGACTAATGTCATCTTTATGGCTTTCAGAAAGGACAGGTGACTAGCAGCAGCAGCATGATGTTAAATGTGTTGTTTTAGGAACATCCATTGCAAATACATGGAATTCAATAAACATTGAATAGCATATCATGCAGTTTGTCTGTGCCTTTTCCTCCGTGTTGTCCTGGTTTGCTGTGCTGCCTCCTAGTCGCCACCATGGTTTGCTGTGCTGCCTGGGGATGCTCAAATCGCTCCGAGAAAGGAGTACGAATGTACGGCTTCCCCACTGACACAGAGCGGAGGAAAAAATGGCTGGCTCAAGTCAGCAGGAGCAATTTCATGACCAACAGCAAAAAAATATGTGAGGTAATTATATACAAACACTGCATTTGCACTTTTTCACAAAACGAAAACCACACCATTGGGAAAGCTTAATGTTTTGTTTAATACAAAAAAACAGGGAAAGGCTTGAAAAACACAGAGTTGAGACTCAGGGTGCAGGGTGAGGGTCTCAGTGCAGGTATTCAGGCTCCATTGAATCCCCCTCTGGTTCTTGTGCTGAAAGAGGGATAAACAGACAGGAGAAAGGGTTATACACACCTATTGGATGGGAAATTGCCTTGGGGAGATAAGGTGTGGTCTTTGTTCCCAACTGAAGTTATGGAAGTTTATTATTTGTGAGTTTAACAAAGTATGACAAATGGCATCAGTAACAGATGTGATATGAATTTCTATAAAGTTGTCTCACATTCTTGGTCATATTTTATATACAGTATGTAATGAGTATAACATGTCCAGTAAGTATAAAGTGTTTCCTAATACTGTGTATTCAACCACTATGGAATATGTACATGTATGTGGGCAGACAAAATTCAGACACAGTTGTTCTGTGTGTGAAGTAACCTCAAGTCACTCCGCAGGCACATTTTGATGCAGACCAGTTTGTCAAGACAAAAAAGGGCAAGACTAGGCTGAGAGCAGAGGCTATACCCACCATCTTCGTG